ACCATCCCTCTTCAACCAGCCGCCCACTAACTCGCTGAGGCCCCACATGGCCAGATGCATCCCAACACTCATGCGCTCGCTGGCCTCTGTGTGCAGGGGCCATGATGTCAAGCAGCAGCCACCCTGGCCTCACCTTGACCTGTGACAATGGCACCCCCGCCCTGCCTCGCCTTGCCTCGTCTCACCCAGCAGGACGAGCCTCCTGCCCACCGCCCCACTTGCCAGAGACCCCCTGGATCTCCCCCAACCCTACCCGGCCTCCACAGGCGTCCCTCCCCATGAGCAACATCGAGGTGATCACGCCCACCTTGTCCACACCCACCCAATCTGCCATGACCACCACAGCCACGCCCACCCAGTGAGCCACACCCACCTGGCACCCGGCAATAAATAAGTGGGTTTTGGGTTGCAGTTTGGGCACTCGGTCTCTAAAAGGTTCACCATCACTGTGCTATATCATGTCCATGCTAATCAGATAATCATAATGGGACATTCTTGAATTTACACAGGTCTGCCTTCAGTTAGATTTTCCCCTTCTATCCTGGCAAACAAAAATATTCCTTAAAAAACAAACATCTGGAAGATATCCAAAGTTTAAAAACATTGGGCTGGGCAATCAAGGAAGTGCAGTAAATGTCTCCACCAATGTCAAAGTTATTTGTGATGCTTCCTGGCAAATCTCTGGTGCTGCATGAGGAAGAGGAGACTTCAATGGGTAGCAATCTTTTGGGTTTCCCTGTTACATGCAGAAGAGGAATAGAGTCTTTGGCTTCTCACCTGTATGACTGCACCCACTTAGCTTCATTTCCTTATTGCCTTTCGTTATCCCCCCCTCCCCGATTCAATCATGTCTGACGGTTGGAGAATTCCTGGACAAGTCTCTGCAATTTTCTTGGTGAGGTGGTTTTTTTTTCCAGATGTATTGCATGATTTATTCCTTTTCAATATAACTGACTAGCTTTTATATAGTAATTTGTCTTTTTATCTAATTACACTAATTGCATCTTCACTATTATCCTATGTCTACATTGCTAAGAAATTGAATAAATATCAATGTTTACCCACTAGAGGGCAGAAGATACAAATATGAGGGAAAGGTGGGGGGGTTAAATGCCGAATTATTTTAGGAGGTACACCTGAGGAATATTCTTACCAGTTGTGAAAAGGGTTTATCCCTGCTGTTTGGTAAAGTACTTCTTGAGAGAGAAACACCTTAGAGAATGCACATGTCCTAAATAAATGAAGTTGGAACAGACGTATTTTTTCCGGTTGTTTTCCTTTTCAGAATCACAATTATAAACGACTGAGTCATTAAAATTATTTATTGAAACATGATAGGAAGCATTTATCCAAATTATATGGGTTGCATCTAAGATGTGTAGATGCTCAGAGGTTTGGAGAATGTTCTTGCAGACATTTGATTATTCGCAAAAGTAAAACAGATTTAAATTATAACAAAGGGCATATGAGCCATAGGACGATATGACTGCAAAGAAGATAATGAAATTTTGGGCCACATCAACAGAAATATAATTTCCAAATCATGAGAAATAATCATTCCACTTGAATCTGCTTTGGTTCAGCTCCACCTTGAGTGCTGTGACCAATAGTCCCTTTTATTCAGAGAAATTGGAATAAGTATACAGAAAGGCAATAGAGTTGCTCAAAGATCTACGGGGATAATTTATTTTAAGAAAAGATGACTAAGAGATATTTATTTTATATCTTGCTTTTATTATTTTTTAAATAAATAACTCAATGTGGCAAACATACCTAATACGCCTTACTCTTCCTATTTACTCCAAAACATCAAACACTCTGTGATGTGAGTTGGGCTAAGAGAGGGAAGTGGCTGATCCAAAGTCACCCAGCTGGTTTTTCACGGCTAAGGTGGGATTAGAACTCACAGACTCCTGATTTCTAGCCTGGTGCCATAACCATTTGATCAAACTGGCTCTAAGTAGTATTTAATATTATCAAATTTGTTTTGAATTTGAATTATCAAACTGGACCAACCTGCCTCCAGAAGAGGTGAATGCTCCAACACTGGAAGTTTTTAAGAAGAGACTGGACAACCATTTGTCTGAAATGATATAGGATTTCCTGCCTGAGCAGGGGGTTGGACTAGATGACCTCCAAGGTCCCTTCCAACTTTTCTTCTACTACTACTACTACTACTACTACTACTACTACTACTACTACTACTACTACTACTACTACTATTATTATTATTATTATTATTATTATTATTATTATTATTATTATTATAATATCAAATATTACGGTCCAAGCAACCAGAAGTATATCACATAGAAGAAGGTCAAGATTGTTCTCTCTCATTCCAGATTGCAGGAGACAGAACAATGGACTTAAGTTACAGGAAAACAGATTCTGATGGAATGTTAGTGGGGGCAATCCTAACAATAAGAGCAATTTGACAATGGAAGCAATTACTCCAGAGAGCTTTTCATTCGTTTTCAGAGCTTGTTTTCAGTAGAAGTATTCAAGGAGAAGCTGGATCGCCATCTGTCTGGGATGCATTAATTTAATTCCTGTGCTGAACCGAAGGGTTGACCCAATGGCCTTTTTAATCTATCTGAATGTATGATGCTATTGTGGGCAATACTGTAAATGCAACCACTGTGAAATTTAATATTTCATCTGGCTATTTTTGTGCAGGACTTCATAAATAGCACATATTTATCATTTAAATCAATTTAAATAAATCAATGGGAGGCTCAGTTCAGAAACTGTACTTTTTATACAGCACACAATCAAATGAAGGAATTAGTTACCTCAAGAAATAGTAATGGACATCATAATCTTATTGCCTTTTTAAGGGCTTGGCTTGAATACATTTATTTGGGATGAGCCTTATTGAAGTCAGTGGAAACATACACAAGACTTTGAAAATGAATGGAGAATAAATAATTTATTAATGAAGGAAGGAAAAGTGCCAATTTTGAGGTATCTCTGATTACTTGATCTTCAAACTATATTTAGGATATCCAGCTTCTTAGCTACCCAAAGGCCATTTCTTCAGTTTGATTCTTGTATGGTTATGATATTTTATATAAAATGTTAGTATTATTGTGAGTGTATGCATATCTAATATGGAAAACTATTGTTTCTCATGTTGCGCAGTACATTATGAACATAATTTCATAATTACAATAATATTTAGGATATCCAGCTTCAAGCTACCCAAAGGCCAGCTCTTTGGTTTGATTCTTGTAAGCTTATTTATATTTTATATAAAATGTTAGTAGATATTGTTGTGAGTATATGTATATCTAATATGGAGAACTGTTGTTTATCCTGTTGCTCAGTAGCATGGAATTATCAAATAAACCATTCAGATGGGCAGAATAGAGTTTTGAAGGTGGCAATGCTAAAATGGACCCATGAAATTAGGCTGCTTCAGACCAACTGCTGTCAATTTGTTTCAGCTATTAAAAACACAAAGCTGTACATATCTATTCAGAAATTCAGTAACTCTCATTCTGTCTTTTTAAGTATGGGATACAGTACCTGTATATTGCTAAAGGGTTGCAGCAAAAATCACAGTTAGAACCATTCCCTCAGTGGTGGATTAGAATGGCCAAACACTGTGACACACAGTAAAAAAAATTCTTATCTGTTTTAATAATGAGCCAATAATCATATTAGCCCAGAATATCCAGCTCAGCTTTGCTAGTAGACTGTGCCCCCCCCCCAATTCTTCAGGAAGCCTCATATTCTTGCATGCTTAATGTCTGCTTGGTAGACTTCAGTGTACGTCTGATTAAATTTGGAGATTGTATGCACTGTGTTGAGTACTGATCATCAGCAAATCTCTCCCAATAAACAAAGATTTATTCACCATATTTCAGTAGTTCCACGGAAGCAGAAGCAGATGTAGGGCCTGGATGCTCCCTCCCCTTTGAAGAAATCACAGATGGCTGGATTTGCTCAACTGCATGATTTACAAAAAGGCCAACACTGGGTATGAAAAGCTCATTAAGCCAAAATAGTGAGATATATGAATCAGACCAATATTTTTCCTCCTATTTACTTTCCCTACACTATAAACGTCTAAAAATTGTCTTGTTTCATCTGAGGAAAAACATCTCATTGAATACTGAGAATGTATGGGGAGCAGTTGGAGAACACAACTAGAAGAACTGGGTCTTTGTAGTTACATTCTATGATTCTGTGTGGTTCTAGGTAATATTCTATGCACATTCCTACACTGGGCAACGAATTAACTCTTAAATACTCATCCAACCTTTCCATATTATGGTTCAGGGTATGAGGTGACAATCATACAATAGGATTCTTTTTTTATTGCATGGCCCTGTTTTAACCTCCTTCTATTTCTATTCCTCTCTTCCACTTTCAAAAACCTGTTTATTCAACAAATGGGTCTATCGCCAATCAACTGGGCCTCCCCAATTAAACAATCGCTTAAAACTACCCGTTGCAGAGTTTGGCAAGCTTTCCTATTATAACAGGATAATTTTAGATTATGATCTATTTCTGTTGGTTCTCTCCCTTTAGCGCCAAGTATGTTCCTAGGCATACCTTCTATTTGCCCCCTGGGAATAACCCACCATTGCATTGCCAGAATGAGAGAAAGGGTTTTTTTTTTGCTGCAGTATTTTAGGTCCGTGATGCTCCTTTTATTCTGAGCCGACAGCAATTCACCATTACGCTGTTCACATTAGGGGAAATGATGTCTGCATTAGAGAGGAATACAGCAAGTCTGATCCACCCAGCACCGTAAACCATGGTTTGCTAAAGAAAACTGAACGGCTGGGTTCCCACGTAAGCAAAGCAGGCGCCGGCTCCCCCGTCCTGCCCCCTCGGCGACCTGTCCGCCCCGCCCTCCCGCTGGTGGCGCTGTGGCTGGAGGTCTGGGCCGCCAACCGCAGGGAGCTGCCGTCACTGCCTGCCCTCTGCCGGGCGAGGAGGGGCAGGAGCCGCGCCGAGTGACGTGTCCCCATCCCGGAGCTTAGCATGATTCATCAGCAGCTGCCGCTAAGATGCTGCGCGCAGCCCCGATGTAGCGCTTGAGCGCCGGTTCTCTCGCCGCACCCCCGGCCCGGAGACGTCCCTTCCCCTTTGGGCGCCGCGGGAAAAAGCAGGCAAGATGGAAGAAATCCTGAGGAAGCTGCAGAAGGAAGCGTCGGGGAGCAAATACAAGGCGATCAAGGAGAGTTGCACCTGGGCCAGCGGTAAGGAAGCGAGAGGCACCTTCCTTCTTCTTCTTCTTCCTCCTCCTCCTCCTCCTCTTCCCCCGCGCCAGAAAGGAAAGCCGACCCGCTCTGCCTGGGCTGCCCTTTTGATGCCTTGATGCGCGAGCTGCATCTTCCCCCGTTATCACCCCACCTGCCTTTAAAAACCTGGGGCGGGAGGGGTTTTTTTTTGTTGTGTGCCGTTTGTGAATGTGCTTTTGCATCGGATCCATCCTCGGCTGTCGATCGCTTAACTCCGCGGATCGAGGGACCCTTTGCCCGTCTTCCTCTCCTGGCGGTGGGTCCCCTCCGCCCACACCTCCGCTGTATTTACTCCAGTACGTTTTTACAGTCACCTCTACGGCTGCAGTCATTTCCCATGTACTCCCGATTGTGTTAAGACTTATTCCTTTAGCTCTTTTTAAACTCTTTATTCTAAAGCTGTTTGTTGTTGTTGTTGTTGTTGTTTTGATCCCTTGGAGTCAGTTGTTACTTACTTCTAGTATTCTGGGCAACAATTTTGTCACCCAATCGTTTCCGTGCTTCAGGCAGGGCTAGAACTTGGGTGTCTCTGCTCCTAGTACATGGTTTAAACCAGGGGTCTTCAAACTTGGCCCTTTTAGGACTTGTGGACTTCAATGCCCAGACTTCAATGCTGGTTGAGGAATTCTGGGAGTTGAAGTCCACAAGTCATAAAAGGGCCAAGTTTGAAGACCCCTGTGCTCCTAAGGTGCAGAAGTTATAAAGCGTCCCTAGGAAAATGATAAAAACAGAAAAGTGCTACAAGTTGTCTTCAACGTATGACCACAGTTGGGACAGGAAAATTCATCACTAAGCAATCAATCACGTGATTGCACCCAATTGTATAACCTTTTCTGCCACGGTTGTTAAGTGAGACATCACATGACTGTTTCTTGTGACCTTCCCTACTGGCTTACCCATTGACTGTGTTGGTCCAAAGCCAACTGGGAAGGTCACAAATGGCCATCACAGGAAGCTGATATCATGGTAAAATGCAAGCCAGTTGCCAAGAACCTGGTTTGCAGTCAGGTGACCAAGGTGATGCTGTCGTGGCTGTAAGCGTGAGGATCAGTCGTAAGTCACTTTTTCAGCACTATCATAACTGTGATAGTCACAAGTTTGAGGACTACTTATACGCTGATTTAATTTAACCAATCACAAGTGTTGAGGTACTCAGAGTATCCATGCATCCTCCCTTGGAAGAATCGGTTTTCTGATGAAAGAACTATCCGAGAGGACTTGTTGAAAGCAACTTTTATAATAAAAAGGTTGTCCAAGACCCATTGACAGGTTAAAACAGGTTAAAAGAATGGCGACAGCAGGGCCTATTAACAATTGGCATCTGGCAGCAGACCAGCCTGGCAAACAATCAGCCATTGTCTTCCAGCTGTAGCAACATACTGTATATTTTTGTTTCTCCTTTAATGAAACGTATGCTTAATCTATTGCTACACCCCCCCCCCTTTGGGATTGTTCATTTTTAATCCATTTTTCCTGATTTGGTGATCTCTAAGTGACAATTTACAATAAACCAAGCAGGAATGTTACTGCGATCTGCATATCTGCAGGTAATGAATATTAAAAAGGAAAATGGCAACGTAATAGATTAGGATTATAAAGTCGCTGGCTTAATCTCCTGTGAGGGCCTAGCAATTTAGTAGTCTGCCAACAGCTTTATTTAAGCTATTTCACGATGGCGTCTGCAGGGAGGAAATTAAAATGTCAAGATGCAATCAAAGCCCTGTCCCCTTTTAACATGCGTTTTACATACATACACACAGACCTCTACTGTCCTGCAACTTGTTACACAAGACATTCTGATTCGAAAATGATCAAACAAGATATTACAATGTAGGTTAAAGAAAAATGTACTGTACCTCCTTCCCACCTTTTTATCCATATATGCTTTCTTGAGTGATGACATACATTTGGTATACTGGCAGCTCGGGAGGGGACACGAGCCTGGTTCCAGGGAATTGTCAACGCTTCTTTGCAGGAGGGTGTCTTCCCGGCGGCCTTAAAGGAGGCCGTGGTGAGGCCCCTCCTCAAGAAGCCTTCCCTGGACCCAGATGAGCTGGCCAACTATCGCCCGGTCTCCAACCTTCGCTTTGCGGCGAAGGTTGTTGAGAGTGTGGTTGCGTGGCAGTTCCCTCGCCACCTGGATGAAACAGATTATCTAGACCCATACCAGTCGGGCTTCAGGCCGGGACACAGCACGGAAACGGCATTGGTCACGTTGGTAAATGATCTCTGGAGGGCCCGGGACAGGGGTTATTCCTCTGTCCTTGTACTTTTGGACCTCTCAGCGGCTTTTGATACTGTGGACCATGGTATCATGCT